CCCCCCCCCCCCCCCCAGCAGGCTGCATGGCCGGGCTACAGTGGCCCCAGGGATCGCTAGCTCCTCAGAGTAAGCCAGCATTGTATTTTCAATTATTTTTTTTCCCCCAAGGAGCCTGCGCTTTTTTGCAAAAATTGTGAAATGGGCCCCTACCTATGATTTGACTTTGCATTTTAGTCAGTCACTCGAGTGTGTTTTTCAGTTTGTCTGCTAAGATGAATGATAGGTGCAGGCTGTTGGTATCTCATGTTTTATAGATGGCCTGTGGGTGTGGCACAAAAATGCAGCTTTTTTATTTCCCATTTTCTTCTTGTCAGTTGGCAGTTCATATACAAGGTGCTGGCTCCCGCTTGACTAGTAGCCATCATAGCTGCTCTTACTGAGAACCTAAAGTACAAAGTAGTAAATCTGTGAAGGAAGCTGAAGACAAGTAATGCATCCTTGTACACAGTTCAGTGGCAGAGCGGATGGGCTTCCAGATGCCAGTTCTGCCCCACCTTCCCGTGCATTGAAATGCAGCACTCCCCAGAGTGGTGAAGAGGCCAGAAGGTTGAGTTCAAACATCTCTTCTGACTACAGGGTTTCTTTTGTACAAGGTTTTGACCAGCGTGGCTGACTAATACCTTTCTTGTTTTTGTAGGGTTGAGGGGGATCAGGTTGAAGAAACTGAAGCTTAAGAACACGATGCCATTTTTTCTGCCAGTTGGACATCCGCGAAACTGAAGGACTTAAGAGGCACTGACCTTTAAGGCAACTAGAGGAATATCTTGATATACTTAAAAGCTAAAGAGCAAATAGTACCCTGGCCAAATTGTCAACTTCAGATTTGTCCGGCTGGAAGCAATTACCACTTTGGTAGATGTCCACACTTCTGACTATTCCATATAACATGGCTGTTGTTAGGCTTCTGGTGCTATGGGTGTTACAAACCTTGTAGCCAAATATTACTGATTGTCTTCTTCTTCCTCATTGTCTTGTAAAGAATGCCAGGCTAAGAATTGGAGTCAGGTTAGTTTAAATACTGTGATTAAATGAAGAGCCTGTGAGATAATACAGTGACAGTATAACTTCCTAAAGTTTTAGGAATTTTGGACTAATATTCTCTTGGACACACAACTCTTCACTCTGAGGCCACAAATTCCATTCCAGAGCATTTGTCCTGACAAGGCAGGATGCTCACTTACTATGTCATGTATAACCAAGACACAGTGTAGTTTAGTGGATAGCGCGAGCACTGGGCAGGGTCTCAAAGCTGGGTTTTCTTCCCTGCTCTGTATCTTGAGCAACTTCACTTTCCTGTGCTAGTTTAGGTTAAGGGACCTTTTTTTTTGCAACTGTGTATGACACAGGCCAGGCTCCTGGGAATCTCATTCAGGTTTCCAGTCCCCAAAACAAGGTAAATGGACCAAGGACAGGAGCAGGGATGACTGATGCCAGGGGAGAATGTGTATGTGCAATAAGAATCTGCTGTTTCTCCAATGTGTAATTTGAAAATACACAGCTGTGCACTGCAGAGTACAATGTAGATGTAGACTGTTAAAAAATGATGTTTTTAAGATGATCTTTTACATATTTTAAATGTGTGTTGATGCCACTTTTTCATCTATTCATTTGAGAGGCAAGTACCTTCCAAAAGGCAGTAAGCTGGGGAGGCCTAACTAATTACTTTCCCAGTGATGTGTTGCACTGTATCCACCTTGCTTATCAGCTTTGTTAATTTCAGACTTCTGCTTTTCTCTCGTTTTGGATTGTTGCTGTACATAATAAAGTGTCAAAACTAAACTCCCCCCTGAAGTTAAGAGTAACTCTTTAAAATTGAGCAGGGAAGTGAACTAGCTGACAAGCTTCAGCATCAAAACTTAACTTAACTTTCTGAAATATATTGCTTAGCCCTTATTTTAACTGACCCAGCTGACTGTATTTGGGGCCTAGTCTTTGCAGTTGGGGCAACTGGCTGTAACTCTAACTTGAATCTGCCTGTGGATGTAATTTGCACTAACATACTCAGAGAAGGGCTTATGAGTTCATTCTGTTGCAATGACCCTTATTTCTGTTGGGGAGTACCAAGGCATACATATTTTTGGAGAGAGACATATGGAGGTTAGAGGAGGAAAAGCTAGTTTCTGGCAGTAATAAATGCCAACAGGTTTATTTTTTGCCAGGAGCCATTCTGGTCCAGAGGAAACCTTTACCTAAGCACTCATGTTGTATTCAGGACCTCCCCTGCATGCCTTCCTGCCAATCCCTGCTTCTACAGGTGCCCCTCAGAACTAGACAGGACACAAAATAATTAACTCCTGCATAGCCAAGGTGATTCTGCTCCCAACATATTCTGCTGGTGCCTTGGAACCCAGTTTTTTGGAAGGAAGCCTAGGCTCCACCCTTATCTTGGCACTTCTGATCCAAGATGAAGCAAAAGAACCTCATTTAGAGCTACACTGTGTTTCTTTCTGGGAACTATCCAGTATACAGGTGGAGAGGGGGAAGGAATGCTGTTTCAATTAGCTATCATTCATAGCAGAAATGTGTCCTGCTGTGTTAAATGGTACAGCTCACATGGGCTCTCTGAACTCATGGCTTGCACCACAAAAAGACAGCTTTCATAGTGGCAGTAACCTCAGCAAGGAATGGGTAAGCTGTAAGTTCTCTGCCCCCCCCCCCC